GCTATTTTTAGAAACTGCCTCATAGTTTCTATTTATATGCCCCCTTCGAAGAAGAGGGGGTATATTGTTTTGCTAATGTCGGTCTGTCTGTCGGTCTGTCTGTCGGTAGACCACATGGTTTCCGCTGATTATCTTGAAAAGTATTAATCACAAAGTCTTCATATTTCACATGGTGATTGGTCATAACTAGTAGATGACCCCTGTCGATTTTGGGGTCACTAGGTCAAAGCTGAAGGTCACAGGGACCTTAAATGTCAAAATGGTTTCCGCTGATTATCTTAAAAAGTGTGTATCACAAAGTCTTCATATTTCACATAGTGATTGGACATCACTAGTAGATGACCCCTATTGATTTTGGGGTCACTAGGTCAAGGTCACAGGGACCTTAATTGTCAAAATGGTTTCCGCTGATTATCTTAAAAAGTATTTATCACAAAGTCTTCGTATTTCACACAGTGATTGGACATCACTAGTAGATGACCCCTATTGATTTTGGGGTCACTAGGTCAAAGGTCAAGGTCACAGGGACCTTAATTGTCAAAATGGTTTCCGCTGATTATCTTAAAAAGTATGTATCACAAAGTCTTCATATTTCACACAGTAATTGGTCATCACTAGTAGATGACCCCTATTGATTTTTGGGTAACTAGGTCAAAGGTCAAGGTCACAGGGGCCTTAAATTTCAAAATGGTTTCTGCTGATTATGTTGAAAAGTATGTATCACAAAGTCTTCATATTTCACACAGTGATTGGTCATCACTAGTAGATGACCCCTATTGATTTTGGGGTCACTATGTCAAAGGTCAAGGTCACAGGGGCCTTCAATGTCAAAATGGTTTCCGCTGTTTATCTTGAAAAGTATGTATCACAAAGTCTTCATATTTCACACAGTGATTGGTCATCACTAGTAGATGACCCCTATTGATTTTGGGGTCACTAGGTCAAAGGTCAAGGTCACAGGGACCTTAAATGTCAAAATGGTTTCCGCTGATTATCTTGAAAAGTATGTATCACAAAGTCTTCATATTTCACACAGTGATTGGTCATAACTAGTAGATGACCCCTATTGATTTTGGGGTCACTAGGTCAAAGGTCAAGGTCACAGGGCTTTAAATGTCAAAATGGTTTCCGCTGATTATCTTGAAAAGTATGTATCACAAAGTATTCATATTTTCACATAGTGATTGGTCATCACTAGTAGATGACCCCTATTGATTTTGGGGTCACTAGGTCAAAGTCAAGGTCACAGGGGCTTTAAATGTCAAAAATGGTTTCCGCTGATTATCTTGAAAAGTATGTATCACAAAGTCTTCATATTTCACATAGTGATTGGTCATCACTAGTAGATGACCCCTATTGATTTTTGGGTCATAAGGTCAAGGTCACAGGGGCCTTAAATGTCAAAAGGGTTTCCGCTGATTATCTTGAAAAGTATTCATCACAAAGTCTTCATATTTCACCTAGTTATTGGTCATAAGTAGTAGATGACCTCTATTGATTTAGGGGTCATTAGGTCAAAGGTCAATGTCACATGGGTCTTAAATGTTAAAATGGTTTTCGTTTTTTTTTCCATGATTGAACACTTCCATGTACCCTTTGTTGGCAATTTTTTGTAATAAAATTACCAACTATGTGAGTCAATGGCTAGAAAGGGGGGTATATGTGTCGTTCGACATTCTTGTTAGAAATTGCGTCAATGTTGCTATTTATAGAAATTGCGTCATTGTTGCTATTTATAGAAATTGCGTCATTGTTGCTATTTATAGAAATTGCGTCATTGTTGCTATTTTTAGAAATTGCGTCATTGTTTCTGTTTTTAGAAATTGCGTCATTGTTTCTGTTTTTAGAAATTGCGTCATTGTTGCTGTTTTTAGAAATTGCGTCATTGTTTCTATTTTTAGAAATTGCGTCATTGTTTCTATTTTTAGAAATTGTGTAATGTTGCTATTTTTAGAAATTGCATAATGTTTCTATTCATATTATATATACAAAATACATAAACAAAACTAATGTGACAAGACAGACCAACTAAATTTATAAAAAGAAAACGTTAAGATATGTTCAAACCTTTCTATGTTTGCGTTTAGAAAAAGTAAAAAGTCGAGCGTTGCCCCCGCCCGGCGGTGGCTCTTGTTCAGTAATTATAACTATATTTTTACTTCATTACTGTGGCTATTTTTGCATATTTTTACCTCATTTTGGTAATTTACATGGGTTGTGCCATTGATAAGGTGTAAATTGCTTCCTTTTGGTTTTAATACATCGCAATATTGCACTTTTATACATGTTTTCAAAATTTTCAAGAAAATTAAGCACGAGCCTTGAGGTGTGCTGCTTTAAGAAATATCTTGATTGAAATACTTTACAATTGAGGTATATTAGAAAAGAATATATCCCCATTTCTCATTCATTCGTGCCTTCTCATACATTTCGTGCTTATAGAAAATACGCTCGTGGGCATCGCGTGCATATCCGATTACTATGCAACTGTTTTGACAACTTGCAGGCTAGCACTCATCAACAGAAAATGAGAAAAAAAAACAGGTATTAATCCATGAATATATTGCTAAATCGTGTCCATACATTGTTACTTCTGCTATTAAACACAAAAAAAAACTCACATTTTATTCAAAATTTGCAAAAAACTTTTTGGTAAAATTTTTCTGTTTCATATTTGCCGGCGTCCATTTTTTTCATGTCACGTGACGAAATTTCCTTTGCTCCGTGTTAGATTTATCATTATATTCTATTCTTAAAAAGTGACACGACAAAATATAATGACCAATTAACATTCAATTAACATTTGCAATTTGTTTAATTATATCTTTGTGATGTGCATCCTTTTGTTCTACGTAGCAAATTAATTTATATCTACACACACAGAAACAAAATAAGCATATAAATTAAGGCTTCTAGAATCAAAATATTTAGGTCAAATGTTGCTATATTACATAGAAGGTCAAATACTCTTATTAGTTTACTTACCTTGTTAGAAGAAATCATAAAACAACATTAAAAATGTTCATTAACACTAGTATGGATATGATTTTTAAAAGGCTGTTGTTCTTTAGCAAGACACACCACTGACACAAGTTTTATGATTATATGCCAGTAAATGCACCCTTTTTAAATTGAACTTAGTATACTGACCTTGGGATTAAATAATACACCGTAACACGGAGGACCAATCAAAAAGCACGAAATGAATGAGAAAGCGTTTGATAGATTCAGATGGTCAAGGTCGTCATAAAAAGGTAAGATACTAAAAATAGATAATTGTTTTTCATGTTTATTGAATTTAAATAACAAAAATGAGAGTTGAGTATACATGATTGACCAAAAATTACTTTCATGTAATAAACATTTACTGCACATGCGCTGATTTACCGCTTAAGAGGCACGAATGTATGAGAAAAGGGCATAAATGTCTTTAGATGATATTAAACTTAATTAAGTGACATGTATCATAGATAAGTAGGTATTTTACTGTATCTTGGAAAGAAATCAAGGTCATTTGTGCTTAAAATAGAGTTTTGTCAGTTCATTTATTGACTGATGATACCAGAAATGTTTGAGCATACACCTTTTTGAGGGATAAGATAAAGTTGATGGAGTCAAGGTCGCCAAAACTGGAGATAGATTTTTGAACTTTTTTTGCTGTGTTTAGTAATGTTGTTTAAGCTGGTTGAGAGACTGTCAATGGAAATCAAATATTTATGTATTCTGCCAGTGTGGCATATGACTTTCATAATGTTTTCATGAATGAAATGTTCTTGGGGTGTTTATTTCAATGATCAAATAAAATGTAATAGAATATGAACAGCCATTTATTTACATGCTGGGATAAGGTAACAAAAGCTTTTTGTTAAGTGAAATAAGCCAACAGCACTGTAACAATTAACACAAAATAGTGCTATTTGCATTTGGAGAAATAATGTCAATATAAGTGTGAAGAATAATGGGTAATTATCTTTTAATCAGACTAAAGTTGAAAAACAATAGAATAAGCTAGAATAAGCGTCACCTTCAACCTAGATTAATACTGAGATCTGATCGATAAAATACTATACAGTATCTGTAATCAACCGAAATATTCTCTTACCCAAATATCTGTTTTGCGTGTTACAAATTAGTCTGGTTTAGCTGTATATAACATGTATGAAAACTTTTCAATGGCCATAAGTTTGTATCATAGATTTTTGGGCAATTAACATAGTTGTTTATAGCACATTTTCTTTATAGTATAGTAAATATTATTATGTAACAAATAAAACTGACGTAGGTTGTAACACACATATTTGATAAAAATTTATTAAAAGTTTAAGGATATGAATGACTTAACTTTTGATTGAACATTATGGTACTAGAAATTTAAAGTAACACTATGACTATACTGAACTATAGCATTAAAGCATAAAACTTTATGTCCAGTATAACTGATTACTCACAGAACGACCAGTTTTGATGACTAATCAGTGTTTATGATTTATGGACTGGATAAATATCATTAGAAAGCAATCCTAATTCCCCTCCGGAAAATAATTTTGACTCCAATTGCCTTGATAGATGTGCATAGTTCTTTGGATCTCAAGTCAGATCAGAAATAATGTATGTTTTTCTTAGAACTTACTTTTTTGGAGCATATGCAGATATAAATTACTAACCAACCATTAAAAAACAGTGTTACATAAAATTAACATCAGGTATAAATCATGGATTCTGACAGCATTCTTTCTGTCAAAAGATGCCAAAAGAAAAATACAATATTTTATTTTTTACAATCTTAAATGTATAATGCATGTAGATTTCTTTTCTTGAGATGTCATGATCAAAACAGACAATATACCCAGGAAATTTTTTCAGTAAAGCTATTAATGTGGAGCAGTATACATACGTCTAATGCTGATGTAACATCGGACATTTAGGAAGCCAGCTATAAACAAAGAGGGAAACTATCTCATGGTAACCACATGCTACTTGAAAACATGTTGATTGTGTAGTGTTTCAGTAAAACTCTACCTCAGAACTATAACTTGTATATATTTTCATATTTATCCTGGATTTAGTTATCATTTATTTTTAAATGCGGTATGAAAATATGAATGTTTGATTTAGGGGAGTAATATTTCATAATAAGAATGTAAAGATTCTAAAGTTACGGTCGATTGCACCTTTTATAAAGTGATAAAGTAACTTTCATTTCTTATAGGTTAAAATTGAAACCACGTTGCATAAAGTGCAGTTTTGATAGAAAATGTTTAAGATGGGTACGGTAAATAAACTTTTAAGTATGAGTCATTACATTAAATCTTGGATATAAAATGTAAAGTTACAAAGAATTAGCTAAGATTTAAGTGCGTCAGTCAGGAATTGGTACAAAAGCGTTTGATTGGATTATAGATAATAAGTTAAAACCACCTCAAGATCATGGATTACCACCTTATAGTTCATTCAGACACTCGAAAATCGATCCGGAGTAAAATACATGTGACAGAATTGTATACAAACTATATACATGCATGATTTCTTTACAGAATGTGTCATGTATTCATGGTGAACAACAAAAACATTTGGATATGATTGTATTTGATGATGTTATTTCTTTGGATTTTACATGAAAATGCAATTTTTGTTTGATCAATAGGTAATAAATTTTTGTACAAACTAGAGGAACATTATTGTAACTATATACTCGTAATTAGCATAGTATTTTACACCTTGTGTACACTTTAATGTAATGTTATAAGTGTAGTTAAACATTACAAATGAATTGAATCAACCAAAAATACCGGAACTGAAATATAAAGATTGTTAAACGGAGAGGATTTTAATATAAAAATGGAATTAAAAGTGGTTGTTAAACGTGTTTAGTGCAAAACAAGGGTAATCTAACATTGAGTTTTATTGTGATCCATTATTGCATGTTGTTGTCGACAGCTAAAATTCAATATCCTTTAAACCAAATTGGGTGACAAGAAGTCAATGGTTTTGTTGTCAGGCTTTGTAATTTTGTAAGATTGAGAATTTGTTTCAATTTTTTGTTTGTTTGTTAGTTTTTAATAGTGTCTACAAGTTGGTTTTATATTTGCTGTCTTCATGCATTTAATGTTGATATAAATATATGTTACTTAAGATAAAGTCAGATGTTTGTGCCACTCAGGCTTCCTGTTGATATATAAAATTTTAAGTGTAGTGATGATGTCATGCTTACATGCTCAACACTATATCAATATTGTTCAGTTTCATTCAAAATATTTTGTTTACTACAATATATTTTGCTTAATATATAAAACATCATGTTATATTACTTTTATGTTCAAACTATTTGTAATGTCATCTTAAGCATGCACTTTTTCTGAATTATTCATAAGTCACTAAACTTGATAATGTTATGATTTAGAGTTCTGAGGTGTGTGTTTTTAAATTTTAGGGTTGTCAGTATTGATGAATATTTTATTGTTGTTTCCCAGTCCAGTGATGTGAAGTTTTTTAGTCATAAGAAGGAAGTTTAAGAACAATTGTTCGATTTGACAATAAAGAAGGGTTTTTAGGGTGAATGTTCCTCTTTTAAAAAAGGGGTAGTTTGTCTTTAAGTAGATTTACACAATCAACGGTGAATTTTTTTGTATACAAGTTTTTTAAATAGTTGTTTAGAATATCTAATTTTATTCGTATAAAAAATTTAAAAAATTTGTTAAATTGCTTTTGATCCAAGGTCTGTGCACTGTCCCCCAATTAGTCTGTACTTATTTTGAAATTTTCCCTAAAAAATCATAATGAGTTTGTTTAGATTGAAAGATGGATGAATCCATTTAAGATAATGATGGGGTAAGGGGGTTTTTGAGCCCAGAGCCCCTTCTCTTAATTGGGGTGTTTTTTTAAGGTCCATCAGCAAATTTTTACCTAATTATTTAAATGAAAGTTTACTTTTTTTTAAAATTTTTATATTTTTGATGGAAAGTCCCAAAGGCATGGTAATTATTATGAAAAATGTACAATTATATATAATTGTGTATTAATTATGTATTGGAGAGTATAATTATGTTTAAAATGTTCAGCAAATTACTGATTCCATTCTGACAGAAGTTCATTTAATATAACTGGGAAAATGTTATCTATAACTGGGAAATTGTTATCATTCTAATGAAGGAATTATCTGGCATGAAAAATTCTGATGTAAAGATTGTGTAGGATATAGGAGTACAATATTTATGTGACCTAGCCAGGTGATATAAGACAAGGTATCTGAGATAACATTGATCATTTCCTTGCAGCATAAAACATGCACTCTTTGCCAAGAAATATGTGTGTGAAAAAACCTTACCATCTTCAAAGTTCACACATGGTTCACAGGCAAACCTTTGTCTGGGAATTTTTATGTTTTGTTGCTGCTGTCCAGTTGTAAAATTGTTAACAATTGGATGAAAGAATTTGCTTTGTTTCATATACCAGAATGGTGAATTTTTTTTTATTACTTTAATATGTATTAGCTGCAGAAATGCAGGCACTAGCAATCATAAATTTGTCTTTGTTATAATGAGTAAAAGTTTGCTAGAAATAAGGTTAATGTTAAAAAAAATCCAGAGTCTCCAGTACTGTTAACATTTACATATTTTTTTTGTGTTGTACTTATCATAACTTGTCTTCAAATAATACCTTGGTCCCTTGTATGTGTTGGAATACTTGTTTATAACCATTTCATCCCCTGTTAGGTGTAATTTACCTCTCCTTGCAGGTAATAAAATACCTGTAAATATAACCATTACCTCCCCTTGCAGGCATTATTATGCTTGTAAATATAACCATTACCTCTCCTTGCAGGTAATAAAATACCTGTAAATATAACCATTACCTCCCCTTGTAGCCATTATTATGCTTGTAAATATAACCATTATCTCCCCTGGCAGGCATAAGATTACTTGTAAATATAACCATTATCTCCCCTTGCAGACATTAGTATACTTGTAAATGCAACCATTATCTCCCCTGGCAGGCATAAGATTACTTGTAAATGCAACCATTATCTCCCCTTGCAGACATTAGTATACCATTATCTACCTTTGCAGGCATTAGTATACTTGTAAATGCAACCATTATCTCCCCTGGCAAACATTAGTATACTTGTTTATATAACCCTTATCTCCCCTTATAGGCATTATTAGTATACTTGTAAATGCAACCATTATCTCCCCTGGTAGACATTAGTATACTTATTTATATAACCATTATCTCCCCTTGCAGGCATTAGTATACTTGTAAATATTATAACCATTACCTCCCCTGGTAGGCATTAGTATACTTGTAAATATAACAATTACTTCCCCTTGCAGGCATTAGTGTACTTGTAAATGCAACCATTATCTCCCCTGGCAGGCATAAGATTACTTGTAAATGCAACCATTATCTCCCCTGGCAGGCATTAGTATTCTTGTTTATATAACCATTATCTCCCCTTATAGGCATTAGTATACATGTAAATGCAACCATTATCTCCCCTAGCAGACATAAGTATACTTGTAAATATAACCATTATCTCCCCTGGCAGGCATTAGTATACACGTAAATGCAGTCATTATCTCCCCTGGCAGGCATTAGTATACTTGTAAATATAACCAGTACCTCCCCTTGCAGGCTTTATTATACTTGTTTATATAACCATTATCTCCCCTTGCAGGCATTAGTGTACTTGTAAATGCAACCATTATCTCCCCTGGTAGACATTAGTATACTTGTAAATGCAACTGATATCTCCCTTTGCAGGCATTAGTATACTTGTAAATGCAATCATTACCTCCCCTGCACTTGTAAATGCAAACAAATTACCCCCCCTCAGGCTTTTTATACTTTTTTATGTAATTTTCCCCCCTTCAGGCTTAGTATACTTTTTAATGAACATTTTTCCCCCTGCAGGCTTAGTATTTGTTAAAATAATCATTATTCTCCTTTCAGTCTAATTCTTTAAAAAACCATTAATTCCCCTTTGCAGGGATTTGAATACTGCATATAACCATTTTCCCCCCACAAAAAGGTATATGTCAAAATTCTTATGAACCCAATTTTCTTTTGGAACATTTTGTTTCTACACGCCAGTTAATAAATAAATGTTGTAATTTAATGAGTCTATTAATAATTGTATTGGTTTTTTTAAAAGTATCAGGTGTTGATTTTAATTTTCTTTTGTAAACAAACCTTGCTGTTGGTAAAAAGGGTCAAGGTTTTGTGTTGGAGGTTACAGGAAGGTTCACACATTATTTGATGTCGTTCCAATTTGCTGCTGTAATGTGAGGTAATGAGCTGATATTGTACTTGGTTGTGTTATTACTTGTTGGATGATCACTGTCATTACCTGCTTAATTTTTGAGAGTCTGACTCATTAGATGCTTTATTTAGGAGGATTATTGTCATTAGGTATTTAATTGATTATTTTGATAAAAGGAAGCATGTCTGACAGAGGGATTTGTACAATTTTTAGTGTCTGTTAATTATGTACCAGTATTGTCATTTCTGCCTACAGGTTTTATAATTAAGTTAAAAAGAAAATACAGACTTTTGTGGTTTGAAAGCTATTAAAATGTGATCAAAATTTTTTTGCTTGGTAGTACAAAATTTTCAAGCTGTGGGGTGTAAAATGACATTTATACAATGTAGTCAATAGTAAAGGTTTGTAATTATAAGATTTTATAAAAGGAGATATTTATTTACATTTCTGTTTGACCTCCTCATTATGCAATTTCTCATAAACTAAATAAAAGCAAGAATGTAGTTGTTAAAATGGCAACTGCTTCCTGTCCCATGCTTTGAGTTTTAAGTTTGTGTCTATCATTGTTCGTTTCTTTTGCACTTTTGTCACTTGTTTTACCATATCAAAGACTTCTTTAATGTCAATATTTTCTGTTTTATTAGTGAACATGAATTTTAGGACAAATGTGGTGAAGAGGGTATAAGATAGCTAACTAAATTAAACAACTAATTAACTAATTGCTAAGCTATAAGGTGATGACTTCCTCTGTTTGAGGTGACTACTACTTATGAGCTTCGAGCTTCATAGCTTTTAAGCAAATTTGTAAAAGGTAATCTTCCCAAATATTATAAGAAGTAAAGACATATGATCATAGTATTAACTATTGGTATTGCTTTGCTTTAAATACATTTAGAAAAATGCCCTAGGCCCATTACAAGTAAAGAATCTTTAATTTCTTTCAAGCAATCTTATCAGGACCTGTCAATTGTCCTTAAAACAAATATTTGTAAAGCACCTGTATTGGCCAGATAGTTAAACAGCTATGTGCTTCAATGAAATGTTTGTTATATAAATAATACAACTTTTCTAACTGCAAAGTAAATATTTTGCTGATGATAATCAAATATTATTTTCTAGTTTTTTGGGTTTAGTATTTTGCTGTAATATACAGTGAACAATGTTATCCACATAAAATGAATTCCATTGCTTTGTTGATAAATTAAGGACTGGTTGTTTTAAATTAGATATATAAAATTCAATAACAAAAACTATTAAATAGTCAATATTATAGTATAGTTTTTCTTCAAGTATTGCCACTTTTTTGTATCGGGCATTTGACAAGTCCAAATGTGTGACTATATAGAAGGGACATTTGACAAGATCACTTGAGTGTGGCTATATACAAAGGGGCATTTGACAAGGTCACTGGTGTGGCTTTATTATATACAAGGGGCATAAAGAAGGTCACTGGTATGGCTGTATACAAGGGGTAATTTTTTGGCAATGTCACTTTGATGTTTCTTATTACAAGGAGTGGCTCTGTACAGATGACATAAGACAAAGCTTTTGAAAATTTCATTTCTTTTATTATTACACAGGCAGTTATGGTCTGAAATCACTAAAAGCATTATGAATTATTGATGTAAATATAATGGAATGTTAGTATATAGAAACAGCTAGTGAAGAAGCTTAGAATGACATGATATCTTAACAAAGAGTATATGATGTCCCCCAAAATTGTGTCATTAGTAATGATTCTTGTATGGTGATAAAACTATTATGAAATCTTTTATGGCTTGTTCATATTTATAAGATTATCAGGTAATTTTTCTTTGGTCAAGGGATGTTACTCAGCTCATGCCAAAAATGATTCCAGCATTACTAAGAGTTATGGAACCTTGTTAGTTAAAACTTTAGTCTTACTGAAAAATTTTAAACTTTAAAAAGTACAGATTGATCAGGGTTTTTACGACTGATTTTCAACTGTATTAAAATGATGTGAGAACTTAAATCCCATAGACTTAACTCAACCAGATAAGGAACAATATTAAACTTGGAGACCTTTCAATTACAGTCATTTATTCTTAAGCTGCAATGTGCATGTGACATTACAATTTGTATAACTTGCATCATCATGACTGGAAGCTTAATAAAAACATTAGCTACATGATATTGAACTGTCATTTTATTTCTGTAAATCATTGTCATATTATATTGCTTTTTAGTTTCATGATTCAAATAAGAGTGGAGCTGTAAAGTGCTCTCTATGGAGTCAGCAGAAAAAGTGTACATGTAATTATGCATACAATGTCATCAATGAATTTTCTCACTTTTGTAGCCATTTGATTTTAGGAAGAATTATCGCTGAAACTGCTCTAGCTTGGGAAGTAAAAATGCTGGTGTAAGTCCAGATTTTTGGGAAAACTGCATGATTTTAAAGAAAATTTCAATTGGGAATAGGCCTTTTATTATAGGCACCACTGAGTGTTATATAAGGATAAAAATCACTGGTCATTTCTCACTAATCACTTTAAATTTCTCACTTAAGTATTATAATTGTAGGTCATGTTCAACATGACCAAGACCAGTAAAATAGTAGCTATTGTATTTTTATAAATATCTAAAAATTCCCTGTCAGCGTTTTTCATGTAAGCTCAATTTCCTCAAGGACTGATCGTATTTCTTAATTCTTTTTATAATATACATGGATGGTTTTATTTACATGATGACTTGTGATATTTAAAGTTTCTGCTTTCAGAAATTGATTTTAGAGAGAATTTTGTTTCCAACATGACAGATTTGGGAAAGCAATAGTCTAAGTCACAACGTCACTGTATTAGAGAATGTAGCTTTACTAAGATTGCTTGTTGTTTAACATTTAAGTTCAAATAAAGACCTTTGATATGCCAGGAAATTTCTTTTAGCCATATTTGGCTTATCTTGTCAGAATATTTTGATATAAATGAGTTTTGTCTGAGAAATATTTATTTTGATCATCCAAGGGAAACATTTATGCAACATTTAATCCTTTTGCCGGATGTAAAGACATACATTCTGTATTTTCTTCTATTGATCCTGGCCGTTAGGAGAATTGATGGCTTAATACGTTTTTTGGAGAGAAAACAATTTCTTTAGACACTTGGGAGAGTTTATCACACAATTTACCATGTCTCATTAGTTTTCATAGGAATTTACAGAAAGAAATTACAAATTATGTTTGATTCCTGGCTGCTGCAATTTATATTTAATGGAACTAAGTGATAGAATAATTGTTATGATGTGCATGAAAGAGGCAACCGGATTTCAAGACTTGAAACATTGATTCAAAAATCTAAAAATTACAGAATTTTATATGTGTTGTTCTAGGCCTTAATAAATAAGTAAAAATTTGTGCATTTTCACTGTTGTGGCTATATACAAGGCACACGCTAACAATTTGATGGCATTCCCTCACCAATGCACCCACTCCCTTTCCCTTTTGACAGGCTTTTTATATTGGCCCTAAAAAATCAGTCATATGAAAACCTGGGTAAACAATCATTATTTTGACACAAACACAATTTGCTTGTTAGATGTCATGTCTATAATGTAATTATAGGAATAAGAAAATTAGAAAATCCCTGAAAAATTCTAAGAAAGGATTAGTGAATTCAGATTTGATGAATGTAAGGTATTTAGACTTGCCCTGTGAGATACTAATGAAATCATTTGTTCAGTCGAAGCAGAAATTCGGAGGAAAACACAACTTTTTTGAACATAAAAATACAGCATTTTTTTAGCGAGAGTTTTATATCATGCATCTCTTGCTTGGTTTTTGGATTTAAGATCAGTCCCTACATCATTGTACTTGACCAATGTCTAGCCAGTAAACAGGAAAGTTAATGATATGAGGTAGAATTAAAACATAAGAAATGTTGTGCTCCTTGCCATATTTCTGCAAGCAGTCATATGGCACAATATAATGTCCACAAATGTTGCATCAGTATAACTCTTTTGTATATAAAATTTTACATGTTACTCAAAGGGTTTTCACATACCGTAGATACAACCCAAACTGCAAACTTATATTGAGCGGCAGTAAATACAGTTAGATTAATCTAGCTTGTGCCTGTAGAATATGTTGCTGTATAGGAAAAAAATGTAACTTTCTGTTATTGATGCTCTTTTTATTAACAGATAGACAATTATCTGAGATGCCTAATCAATTTTATTTCCCAATTAATGTAAAGAGTTATGCTGGTAAATGGTTGGTGTTAAACCCAAAATCAATCCAGCATCATTGATTGTTAATCACATTGTCAAGAAAATTGCTTTATGATGATTGCAGGAGGCTGAGAGATATAAAACCCCGAAATGCAATTCTGTTTAAGGGTTATTTAATGCGAGGTTGTTGGGAGAGCTGGGCATATTATCTCCTAGTATTACAATAATATTGTCTTTAGGACTTCTTTGACCTAACACTGCTGGCTTTGTATCATGAAGGTGCCCTGCTTTGATTTAGGAGCAGGTCAATAGCACCTACTGGAATTTCATTGTTGCAAAACTAGAATTTAACAGCCAAAGGATAAAGCTTAGTCAAATGTGCAAGCTGTCCTGGTTCAATACTAATGGCATTTTAGGCTTTACATTTGTAACGGGTTAGCATGTCAATAAATAATGTTTTTGCCATTCAAGTTCTTGGACAATCTGACCTGTACAATAGAGGTTGACAGGTATACATTGAAATTGGAAGTCAAGGTTATGTTAAATCATAAACAGTGTATTTTACTTTGGAAATGATACACTCAATTTGACAATAAATCAACTTCCAATGTCTCGCTCAACTATAGCATATATATAACTATAGCATAATAATTTGGAAATATTGAATCCATGGGTAAGCGTGTGTGACAGCTAGCCTTTGTTTTAAAAGGATGTGAGGTATTGGCTATGAATTTCTTATATCTCATCATTTATGAAAGCATATCATTAATTATAGATGAGTTGAGGAAGAAGTCTGTCATTATCATAATGTAGCATCGTGTTTTTTTATTGATTTATGACCATTACTTATTTCTCCAAGGAATTTGATAAAAGCAACTTGTTTACCCTTGTATCATTATATATACATAGTAACTCCTTTCCCAGTTCCATTACTTTTTGCTTTTATAACATTTTTGAAAAAAAAAGCTGTAAGAGATATACATGTATATCACAAGGCTGCAAATTATAAGTTTCCTTGGGGTTGTTTACACTTTGCATACACTTTAACATCAGTGGGTAATAAAAGTATAAACATGCACTTTCTTCACAGAAAAAAAAAGATGAAACATGACTAGCATTAACTGAAAGTATTGTTCATAGAGGTTTTTGGACAATCCTTTCTCAAACTTCGATGATATGGGTGCTATAAGGGTATCCATATTTTATGAAGTCTGGATACTGACTGAAAGTTTAAACTTGTATTTTTGTTATTGACATTTTAATTGTTTTGGTGCTATACAAGGCCCTTATGTTATTTAAGCATGCTGAGAAAACATGTAAGGTGAAATTTTAATAACTTGAGAGACTTAAATTCATCTTGAAGACACAGACTAATATTTCCTGGGAGGGTTTCCAATGTCATTGCTTTCTGGAAAGATTGATGGCTGTAAAATGTCAGTACAGGGTGAAAAATAATTCTTAACAGACTTTATCCTGATTGGTTTTATAAATTGCCTTATTTCTGCTAATGAACAAACATGACTGACTTCACCTTTCACCTCACTAGCTATTCCTTTAATGAAATGGAAGCGTAATCTTAGGGGAGGGGGGCTGACCATACTAAATAGTATTAAATGGACATGTCCACAGTAAGTTTCCTCCTTAAAATTAACAGAGAACTATAAAAGGTCTCTTCCCTATGGATTTTTTTTTTATAAATCTCACAAAAAAATCAGACTGTCTGTCCGTTCTTTGTCAGTCAGTCAGTCAGTCTGTCTGTCAAAATTCCAGGACAGGTGTTTCACTTAAAAAAAGTTAAAATCATCATGACAAATATCAAAGAAAACATTTGTGTTTTGCTGAGTGTCTGATTTGAATTCAATAAAGATAAATATGATGTCTGAGGAATCATTCAACCACACATTAGAAAGCACCTTGAGGAACTTGATCAGTGCAGAGAAGAGCAAAATAATATTAATTAATTGATTGATTTAATTATGGCATATTTTATGTTACTTGTTTGCAAATTGATTTAGTCTTCTGGCTATCTGGCAATAAAAAAATACGAATTTCTTGTAAAGGAAAAGATATTTTCTGTTGGTATAGAATCAGATGTCTGTTGCTAGGTTTCAGAACTTTCTCTGTTTTCTCTGTTTGTTAGATCTGGAAACTTTCATATTAGATATCTTATAATTAAAAGTACATAAACAAGGGGTAATATAAATGTTGAGAAAAATAAAAAAACTTACTATGAAGGGAAAATAAAAGGTGAAGTTTTAAGTGTAATAACACAAAGTAATGGATCACAATTTATAGGTAAATTACGATAAGTTAATTTTTCAATATTATCCAGGGGAATCAGAGACTTTGTTATACTTGTACCAGTAACGATCAGAAAGTTAATGTTATAAAATTGTCTCTGCAGTTTATTGTATAGAGGAGGAATATATTCTAGGGAAAATGACATTGATGAAGAAAGAAGGATTAAAGTGAAAACATTTCTTATTTGTGTTTGATATTTAAGATGGAGGAAAAATTCTTGCAAAGATGCAAGAATTATGTTAGAATGTCTTTTTTTGAAAAACATTTAAAACAATTGCCTTGGAGATATCGGAATTAAATGGCGAATTCATTCAATAAGGATTTGATACCATAAACATTGGTTGCCACAGAAACAATGGAAGATATAATAGATAAAGAGAAGGGTGAAGAAGAGGATGATGAATATCATGAGAACGTTCATCTTACTGTGCCGCAAAATGCTCTTACACGGACAGTCTCTTATAATGATACTAAAACATTGTTAAGGTGTAGGAAACAGGCGGCGCTTTTGGCAACGTCAACCAGTGAGACAGATTTACGCAGATATTCATTGTCACCACTTTTCATAAGGCGATCTGCTTCAGTGAATGAATGTAGGTCAGAGCTATCCAGATCTCCACTCTCTGTGAGAGTGAATTTTAGTGATGATGAAGTTTTTGAGTTTCCACATACACGATCACCGATGTCGTTAAAGGTAATTCAAATGTAAATTTTTATGTACTTTTTACCTTTGAAGGATTTGTCATGTAATGCTGCTGTTTTTTACAAAATATGATGTGAAAGTTTAATTGAATTATGGTAAAAATACATTAAGAATAGTTGAATTCAAGCAAATTTTCTTTTAAACCTTGAGTGTCAACTGTAGTGTAGCCTAAGATTACCAGAAGGAAGGATGTGGATGTTATGATGTTTAAAACTTAAAAAGAAAAACTTGAAGGGTTAAGTTCATATTTCTTGCAAGTTAGTAAAACTTTTTCCATAAATGCTTACAAAAATGGCAATAATTTAATTCACTATTCAAGCAAATTGCTTTTAAGCTCACCTAGAATGAGCCGAGAAAGAGTTGCTGGAATGGTGTATCATTGCAATTCAAATACACTGTTGTGATAAGTCTAAGTTTATACGTCACAATACATATTATGTAATTTGTTCATGCCAAGTTTGATTAAATTCTTTTTGGTTGAGTGGACCCAGATAAAAGAAAAAGTAGCAAACAAATTCATGATTAAGATACTTGTAATTTCCTCATTATATCTTTTATGTGGTTCAACCCTTGTTGGCATCAAACTTGACTTTGATGAGGAAAAAAGTCCTGTTCACTCTGCTGTTGTTGTTGGTTTCATGATAGATTAAAGATGATAGGGATGGTGTAATAAGACATCAAAGCACTGTGTTGATGGGTGGTGCTTATCAGGCTTAAAACAGGTCTTAATTATGATTGTTTCTCTTTAATAACTGTTGGAGACCTCTTAAAGCAACATGCTGATAAGCCTTTAAGATTGATTGAAGGTTAATGATGTATGTGAGCAGTGTATGGCAGGATGATTGTTATACTTCAAGATAGGTGTGTTTGCCAGTTTAGGAATAGCTTGGTTATAGGAGATCATGTCTACAGAAGGTTCCATGTCCACATGATTGATTATATATAGAAAGGAGCATAATCAATAAATTGTCTGAAAAAAATCTTATCAAGGCTTCAAGAATTGAGATGTTTTTCTTTTTCCTAACATACATGTTGAACTGATATATTTGAAAATATTTTAAATACTGAGATTGTGAATGGACTGTTGAGGGGTCTGTGATGGTCTATAAAATGTTTCAACCTTTGAACAGTGAGTGGGGAGGATGTGGTTGTTGGATTAACATGGAGTGGGGAGGATGTAGGTGTTGAATGAACAGGGAGTAGGGAGGATCTGGGTGTTGGATGAACTGGGAGTGGGGATGATGTGGGTGTTGGATTAACATGGGGTGGGGAGGATGTGGGTGTTGGATTAACATGGAGTAGGGAGGATGTGGGTGTTGGGTTAACATGGAGTGGGGAGGATGTGGGTGTTTGGTTAACATGGAGTGGGGAGGATATGGGTGTTGGATTAACATGTGGGTGTTGGATTAACATTGAGTGGAGAAGATGTGGGTGTACGATGAACAGGGAGTGGAGAGGATGTGAATGTTGGATGAACAGGGAGTGGAGAGAATGTGGGTATTGGATAAAAAGAGATGGGGAGGATACAGGTGTTGGATGAACAGGGAGTGGGATGTGGGTGTTGGATGAACAGGGAGTGGAGAGGATGTGGGTATTTAATGAATACGGAGTGAGGAGGAGATGATTGATTAACAAGGGATTTAGAGGATGTGGGTATTGGATTAACATGGAGTGGGGAGGTTGTTGGTGTCTGATGAACAAGGAGTGGGGAGGATACAAGTATTGGATGAACAAGGAATGGAGAGGTTGTAAATGTTGGAGTAGTTGTAAGTTAGCAATGAACTTCTCCATTTAACTTTGTAAATTGTACATTTTGATTTATCAAACTGAATGAAAAGTTAATATCCAGCAAATGATTTCTTGCTTTTAATATTTTAAGTAATTTTTTTTTCTCCTTACAGAAAGAGCTCAGCTTCAGTAGGCGATCCAGTAACAGGTAAACATTTGCCTATATTGTAGAATTATAATTCGATGACATGCGCTCCCTAGACCCCTTCACTTGGACAATTACCACAAAGACATGTGCTGCGCCTTTTGCATTGGTGGATATTTGCTCCTTTGTTGACTTTGAAAGGCTGAACATATGCACCCATTTTTATTTCTTTGTTTTCATTTTTTTTCCTGCTCAAGTTTAATTGCATATACATGTACTAGTATTTAATGAATTTTCCTTTTCATAAATTTATTTTTGCACTTACACAGGCTTGAAATATTCCTTATTTTTTATAGATATTTTATTGTTTTATATACATACTGAAAAAGTGGCATAAGATGTATTTAAATCAATGATAGGACTTCTAATAATAGATTTTTTGAAGTACAATGCCTATGCTTTTCTTAAATGTATGACATATACATGTCATCATTATAAACATTACATGTGGGAAATTTAGGAAGTAAATTTATTGTATTAACAAGAGTTTAAATTATTTAGAAGTGTATGATATTTCTTAATGTTTTATTTTTAAGGCATATTTAAAATTATTAGATTAATAAAAAGTTATTTGTTGAGGCGCTGAGGTGCAAATATTCTTCCCATCAAAAGAAGTACAAGGGGGGCCAAATGTTCACCTTAATAAAATGGGAGGTGGTGGTGGTAAACCTCTGCTAACATAGAATCATTTATACCTTCTTCATAACAGTAGTATAAGGGGAAAATTATTCTTTTCAGTTCCACCGCAGAACATGGTTCCATTTCCAATGACATTGAATAAAAAGTATCACAGAAATTAGAAGCTTATCAATTACTTAATAATTTAAATGTCATTTCCACTGGGTAAAATTTTCACAACTATATAGGCCTTTCTTTCAATAAGACCTAAATGACACATTTTAGGTATGCAGTCATAACCCATTACTTACCATCTGATTAAAATTGATTGGTTGAAGATTACCATATTTGCACCTGTTGAAAAATTCAGACATCCGTGGCCAAGTGGTTCAGGTCATTGATGTCAAACCACTTGCCCTTCACTGCTGTGGGTTAGAAACTTCACAGAGACTTTGGATTCTTTTATGTCAGGAAGCTATCCAGCTAGCTTACTAAACATCAGTGGTTCTACTCCGGTGCTTGTTCATGTCTGAAATAATGCATCCAAGTAGCCTACAAGTATATGGCTGAAAAACATCTTAGCATAACAGCTCAGCATGGTCAGCTCAATTGCTAGAGCATTGGACTGTGAATTGGCAACCTGGGTACAATTCATGGATGTGCAGGTCAATTTCATTTTGATTGATCATAAAATCTTTTCTATGGTTTTGTCACTGTACACTCCATTCTGGCATGTACAGAATTAATTAGTAAAGTACTGGTAAATTGCTAGACTGTGGTGGCTGAACTTTGTAACTCAAAGCCATGATCTGAAGGGTAAACTACTAACACCCACAAATCCACTCAGCATAACAAACCAAAATTTTGAATAACTACAGTTATGTTCTTTGTATAAAATCATTAATTTATTGTTTTTATGAAGGATGAATTAATTCACCATAATTATATTCTTAATTGATTTTTTATAACCTTACAGAAGTCCTAAGGCATTAATTATCTGAGTTGTCAGACCTATCAATGACCTGGACAACATGATTGTTGTTTTCCCCACCTAGTCTGCTTTCCTGCAATGAAAATTGTTTGTGTCTAGCCAATCATTATTTTGTCATCATTAATTAGGCTCCCATTTACATGTCAATGTAACAATTTTCTGTCTGCACATTTTTGAGTTCGAATTATTATACAGATTCTGCTCATGTCTTAACACCAACTTGTTCTATATTGTATGATTGACTATTTACCCTTATGTTACTTAACAAGGTTTCGTTAATAAAAGTCAAGTCATGTCATCAGGGAATGCCCTTAACCCGTTATAAATTTAGGCAAAGTTGCAAATTTCTAGGATATAGTCAAATTTTGAACAGAGTTATAGACAATTGGACCTGAATGTACACACTGTTTCAATGTAGAGAAATAGAAATTAGCTGATAATTCCCTAATAAAACTGGATGCCAATCAAAAGAGTGCAATTGTACCAAAGTTATGTTAAGGTGTATAGTGGCTGTAAAATCAAAAACCTAAATTACAGCCAAAAACAAATGGAGAAAATGATGCGCCATAGTTCATCAATTTAATCTTGTGAAGACTTACAAGCACTTATCTTAGTGGTAGCTGTATATGAGGCATCCCATACAATATTACATGTATATAAACTGTCCAGTTAGCTCAATAGGAAGAGCAATAAACTGTGAATCAGGCAACTTGGGTTCAAGTCCCGAACGGTGCAGGTCACTTTTATTGTGATTGATCATGAAATTCTTTCTACAGTCAATCGCACTGTACCTTTGCTCTGGCATCTACAAAAGTTATCAGTTCTTAGGGAAGATTAAGGCAACTAGTACTGGTAAACTGCTTAACAGCCTGCCCATGAAATGATGCGGTGGCTGAACAGTGCTCTAGTGAAGTGGCTTACGGCCATGATCTGGAGTATAAACTACCAACACCACCACCGTAGACATGTATTTATGTATTAACAGTTGCAATATAAGTAGCAAAATGATTTTTCAGAGTAACTCCCTGCACATTACCACAATAGGACAACAGTATTGATCTATTGACATTGTAATTTTAGTTGGAGGGGCAATACATATTTTCAATTATTAATTAGATGAATATGATATGTTTAGATGATAATTGTTTCCCACCATTGTTAAATATGCTTTGAACATAGAAATTGTTCAGCTCTCATTAAGAATGCATTGCATATAAAACTACACTGAATTGTTACAATAAAAACAGCCATTTATACTTCAGATATCATTTTAGCAAAATATTATAAATGTAAACAGAATATGAAGTTACTGTAAAATATTGAACTTACGGGCAGGAGTAGGAAAGTAACATTTCTTTTATTTACCTTAAATCTATTGATACTGGTGTTATATGAGAGTTATTACCATGGAAACGGTAATAATGAATACTAGTAATAACATACATAGTTGGGTCATTGTTAATTGTCCTGTAATAGTGCCTGTGATATTAACCAACTTTCCTGCACATTCTGCGGATAAGGGAGACAATCTTTTGATTGAATGTAGGAAATGAAATATAAGAGTTTTCTCCCTTTGTCAATCTGTTTGACAATTTTCAGTTTTTGTCATGCCAAATTTGATATGGTTACTTTTGCAGAAATCATCGGAAGTCTGTGGTTGGTCCAAACAAATCACCTGTGTTACAGGCCCGATGTCCATCTCCTCAAATAGGTAAGTTTACATCAGTTTTAAGACAGTAAATATATGCATAGAACTTTGTTTTTGGTAAGGAAGCAAAAGTTATAAAATGAAAATTGTCACAAAGTCATGCACCTGATTGACAGGATTCAGTTTCAGTTTGAAACAGGTTAAACATTGTGTTGCGGACAGGCAAAATTGTGTCAATCATAAACGTTTTTTGCACTGAACTGTAAATTGAAGGAAGTTGTGGTATTTTGGTTTATTGAACCACAAAGCGGTCTTGTTCTTGAATAATTTAAATACTTGAAAACCACATTCCTTTAAATCCTTTCAGTGACAGACTGCTTATTATTTACTACTTGATAAATCTCACAACATATGGTAATATTTTCTATTGAGAGTGTAAAATTCTTCAAGAGAAAACACTTTATTAGGTCTACTCAACAAATATTGTGATATTAAAATCCCATATTAGCAGCAGCATTGATCCAGTGTCTAGCAGATAAAGGTTTAGTATGTTATCGTGAAACATTATCAATGTAGTTAGCGGTTAAGTTGTGAAACATCTGCCAGGATTTTCCTGATAATTTTCTTCTATAACAGTTACACTGACTTTGTAATGCAGCATTGAAAGTAGAAATAAATAGTTAATACATGTAATTTGTACTACTACAAGTATAATAACAGGCATATTAATTATAACTGATTACCTCCCTTGATATGAAAATGTTATGATTGTACTGGTTTTCTCCCTTTTATAAAAGATGGTACCGGTAATATGTTGACATCTATTTAACCCTAATCTTACTAAACGTTGATGATGGAATATCCCTTTGAAGCATAATATTAATTCAAAGTATTTCAGTGCCCAAAATATTACATTAGAGCAACCATCCTCTCCAAGTCTGTCAGACAAAATTGTGGATTTTTTCAAGATTTAAAGCTTCAAAGCCTTTGAGAAATTATGATTTACCACATTCCAAATTGCCACAGAGCAACAAAGCAATTTATTCCTTTTGTTGTAGAATATTTTTTTATTAATTTTGAGGTGAATTTGTGAGAACTGCTTTTTTGTCAGAAGTTGAACATTTTCAGGATTTTCAATGTTTTATTTTAGTGTCAATCAGCCATAACGCAACACAGAGGAATTCATTGGAAGAATTTTTTGTTGCTAATTTGGAATGAGAAATGGGGGTAATCTTTCCTGCTGTTTCTGTGGGAAAATGAATAAATTGTGAATTCCGTCTGCCAAGATTGTGTGTGTATCTTGTATTTTGCTGGTTTAGTGTGCTAATACCCCCAAAAGCAGTTTGATGGGGGGGAGGGGGTATACTGGAGTCAACTTGATGACAATAGTTGGTTGGTTACATGTCTGCACATGGCATATTAAATATTTTGAACACCTATAATGCTTCGTTAGTTTATACGGATTTCCTCCAAACCTATCTACACTGCTTGTACTAGCATGTACAAGGTAGATGTGAAAAAGATTTGAATTCTTTCTCTTCATACAGAAGTTATGGCCCTTTGACTTTTCTTTTCATATATTCATTTTTAAGCCTTTAGTAATTTTTACTTCTAAATTTTTGTCTTGGGCAATACTGAAACAGCATTAGAAGTATCAATTTAAGACACAGAGCCTAAACAGGAGTGACTTGTACAGAAATGAGCTGGGAGTGGGGGTTTTCAATATGATGGTCATTATTAACTTAGGACTATTCAAATCCCTGCTTTTCAATAGGGTTTAGGTACTAGAATTGCAAACATAATTTATGTCTTAAGCAGTTACAAAAGCACTGAAAGCATCAAATAAAAACAATGCAGTGATATTTATAACCTCTATATTGATCAATATCTCACCTAATGTCTTTCATCTTATAAAATTACTACCAGACAAAAAATCACTATAACACAAATATTTGATTGTAAGATGTTAGGTGGTTAAGGTGGTTTACCAGAAATATTGATATTAAAACCAACAATCATTATGGGATCAAAAGACAGATTTGTTAAAATCATGTCATTAGAAACTCAGCTCAAATGCTAATAATGACAATTTTTTAGGGTGAGCTTTTGTGATCGCTTTTCGTCCGTTGTCCGTCCGTCGTCCGTAAACTTTTACTTTAAATGACATCTCCTCTTAAACCACTAAGCCAATTTCATCCAAACTTCACATGAATGTTCCTTTGGTGGTCACCTTTGAAAATTGTTCAAAGAATTTAATTCCATGCAGAACTCTGGTTGCCATGGCAACCAAAAGAAAAAACTTTAAATATCTTCTTCTAAAAAATCCAAAGAGCTAGAGTTTAGATATTTGGCATGAAACATCTTCTAGTGAGTGTCTACCAAGTTTGTTCAAATAAAAGCCCTGGGGTCAAAATTGGCCCCGCCCCAGGGGGTCATTGATTTTCCCTATATGCATATAGTAAAACCTTAAAAAATCTTCTTTAAAAGAACCCAAAGACCTATAGCTAAGATATTTAGCATGAAACATCCTCTAATGGGTGTCTACCAAGATTGTTCAAATAAAAGCCCTGGGGTCAAAATTGGCCCCGCCCCAGGGGGTCATTGATTTTCCCTATATGCATATAGTAAAAACTTAGAAAATCTTCTTTTAAAGAACCCAAAGAGCTACAGCTAAGATATTTAGCATGAAACATGTTCTAATGGATGTCTACCAAGTTTGTTTAAATAAGAGCCCTTGGGTCAAAATTGGCCCCGCCCCGGGGGTCATTGATTTTCCTTATGTGTGTATAGCGAAAACTTAAAAATCTTCTTGTAAAGAACCGAAAGACCTAGAGCTAAGATATTTAGCATGAAACATCCTCTAATTGGTGTCTACCAAGTTTGTTCAAATAAAAGCCCTGGGATCAAAATTGGCCTCGCCCCAGGGGTGTCATTGATTTTCCTATATGCATATAGTAAAAACTTTAAAAAATCTTCTTTTAAAGAACCCAAAGACCTGGAGCTAAGATGTTTAGCATGAGAGGGTGTCTACCAAGTTTGTTCAAATAAGAGCCCTTGGGTCAAAATTGGCCCTACCACGGGGACATTGATTTTTCTTATATGTGTATAGCAAAAACTTAAAAAATTCTCTTTGAAAAAAACCAAATAGCTAGAGTTTAGATACTAAGCTTGAAACATTTTCTAGTGAGGGTCTACCAAGTTTGTTGTAATAAAAGCCCTGGGGTCAAAATTGGCCCCGCTCCGGGGGTCATTCATTTTCCTTATATGTGTATAACAAAAACTTAAAAAATCTTCTTTGAAAAAACTCAAATAGCTAGAGTTTAGATATTAAGCACGAAGCATCTTCTAGTGAGTGTCTACAAAGTTTGTTCAAATAAAAGCCCTGGGGTCAAAATTGGCCCCGCCCCGGTGACATTGATTTTCCTTATATGTATATAGCAAAAACTTAAAAATCTTCTTTGAAAAAACCCAAATAGCTAGAGTTTAGATATTAAGCATGAAACATTTTCTAGTAAGAGTCAACAAAGATCGTTCAAATAAAAGCCCTTGGGTCAAAATTGGCCCTGCCCCAAGTGTGTCATTGTTTTTAACTATATGTGTAAAGAAAAAACTTGACCAGCTAGACCTTAGATGTTTAGCATGAAACATCTTTTAATGGGTGTCTACCTAGTTTATTCAAATAAAATTAAACTGGCGCCGCTCCGAGGGCCTATATACAGGTGAGCGACTTCAGGGCCATCATGGCCCTCTTGTTTGTATTAAAAGTTTTTTTCAAGGAAACAACAGCTTGCCCCTGACTGGGTTTCAGCCTATATGGATACCAATCCATACACCTCAACAACACCAGCATATTTGTTGTGTTTCTTAAGAGCAAATACTTAATAGAAAAAAATAACTGGTGGCCAAAACTGAAGATCAACCATATGTGTTTATATGTACATCCAAATACAGCTAAAAACAATTAATATGTAATATTCTCATCAACATTTTCATCAAAATGACTCATTTTTTCCTATTTTGTTGTGTATGCCACTGTACCGGCACCGATGATTCCCAAAGAAGGACTCACCAAAGATTTCTGATAATAATTGTTATTCAGTGTAATGTAATTTGCAAACATTTTTCAGTTACCATGTTTTGATGATTATAAAGTCTCCTGGATTTTGCTGACTGTGTTTGTTATGTTACCAGGCTGTTTCCCACAAGTATTTTTTCGTAAAATGTTAAGGAATAAAATGATATATGTATCTTTCCAATTTACAGAGTGACTATTCTGTTGACAATGTTATGAACATTACAGGTAATATATATCTGAGCTGCTAACTCCCCTGGGATATAAACTACAGAAATGTTATTAAATTGTAAACAACATTTCTAGAAAATACCATGGTAACCATTTTCAATTTTCTGTGAAAAAAATCATATTAAACGAGAACAGCTCCTGTTGTATTATAAATTTATTAAATAAAACAGAAAATATTTCTGTGAAAATTGTTCATGCAACTGAAGTATCTAACAGTAATAACTGTATATACTCACTTTATTGTGTGAAAATATAAATGTATGGCCATTTAGTGAAAGTCACAGACTTAAGTAAAGTATACACTTTTCACTTTTAATTTAATATATGTATACATGTATTTTAGCATCGCATTTGAGAAAAAAATACTTATTCTTGAATTTCTTAGAAAGGGGACATTTTGATATATTTTTCCCAACATAAACTTGAGTTTATACATGTATGTCATATGTATGATATACATATAGTCTTGGAATGGCTTTACAATTTAGTTACAACCAATAATAAGTTTTTTGTTTGATATCATTTAAAGATATTTTTAATAAGAATTTCTTGGTTATCTTTTTTGATGAGATTATATTATGTTTTAGACTGTTTAACAGTTGATTTTACTTATTTTAAAACAGGACCGTACTAAAATATTTTATATTTGACACGCTTCATCATATTGCCCTATCTAACAGATAACGTAGTCAAATGCATAATACAACAAAGCACTCAAAATTGATATCTATTTTCTAAAAAAATTATCAGGCTGTTTCTG